CTTTTCATGTGGGAGTTTGACAGCTTTTTCCCTCAAAGTGTTCTAAGAGTTTTTATTGTTTTTTTGTCTTTGTTTGCTCAAGTCGTTGAAGTTGACATGAAAACTGAGCGAACCATATGAGTTATGTCTATCACTTTCGTAAATTAAGATACATTGATGTATTCATAGAGGAATATTCGTTCAACTGAAGTCGTGGATAGAGACGAGACAATGAATTCGTTATATTTCTAATAACACCAACTTTTAAAAAAATGCTTATACTCATAGCTACTCATGACAACTGCAGTTCTGTCTTTAACACATTGACAATGGCTTTTCGATGTGTTTCTCTTATCTAAAGCCACCATCACAAATTCATATTTCATTTAACATCCTTATTTTGCTTCCCGGAGAAACTTATCGGTCAGCAATATTGCTCCTTCCACTGGGCTACTGACAGCTTCCTTTGGCCCGCGGGCAAACTATTATTGTCTAGGGGGGAGGGGTGAGGATGCGAGCTGGTACCGAATGGTCAGGCTTCTCTAATGAGGACAAACATCGACAAAGAAACACCGTGAGGCAAATGAGCCAACATAAAATGAATGAATGAGCCAAACGGAACGGGTTTCCCATTCACTTAGATTTCTACCATTAAAATTGAGCGGTCACTTGAGAAATCTTGGAATTCAGACAGCTGTATGTTAGATCAAGGGGTTTGTAGAAGTTTGAACAAAAACATTTCTCTTGACTAACAGTTCTAAGCCGGATAATTTACCATGTATCAGTGATACTGCACATATTCTCAAAGCACAGCTGAAACGCACCAAATTCTTCTCTGAGTTTTCGATGATCACCTGAACAACACAGGAAAAATATTACAGCAGCTATGTTAGCACGTGAGTGATAACGGAGGTGTTATGGTGTGTCCATTTGAATGAAAGCTACTGAGCAGTATTTTCACGTCAGTGGTACTATTTGCTTTTCAGCATTACACCAAATGAGATTTGCAAATTTCGGTGAATTTTGACTTTGACCACTTTTGGAATCATATCCTCACGCCTCCCTCCCCCACCAACTGACCAAAAGTTTTAAATAAGCAAACCACCCCCAACCATACCTTTTTCTTACAAGAAACAGTTTGCAATATTTTGAACACGTTTGAAAGTTTAAGTGACTCGGTCTTGACCGTACAACGGCCAAATTAAGTTTCTAGTCGCTCCAGGGTGACTACTGCATATGGCTTCATTAAAATTCCAAGCACGCTCAAAATTTAAATTATCGGTTTCAGGAACATACTTACCTCCCCGCATTTCGTGCAATCCTGATGCAGTTTTGGTTCGTCCAGACATTTGGCGCCACGCAAGCTAGGAGGGCTGTTCACTCTAACAAAGGCTGGTAGGGGGTCAAAATTAACACTTATCTGCTAAAAGGCCCGAAGTAAATAAGGCTTTGTAAAGCATGACGCTGTGTTTATGTCCCAGTGGAGTTCAAAAACAAAGAAATAAAGGCATTTCATATAATTATATGACGACCAAAACATTTAAAGGATTATCCGGCTGAAGTAGCATGCCTGAAGCAATGTTTGCCAAATGACCTTTAGTTCTAGTCTTGGCAAACAAGGCACAAAACGTATCATGCTTTGAACAGCCAAAACGGATTCGTGGATAGCAATAACATAGCCGTTTCGTACTGTCTATTTGCTCAGTGTATTTATTCACAGCTAATTCAGCGTGATTTAAACAAAAGTTTAACGATTTGCGTCATTTGCGAAATCACGTCCTTCGCATATTTATTCAAAACTTCAGAGAACCAAAACTTTATTGACAGACTTTGAGACAAACGAAATATAAATTGTTTTGTCAAAAGAAAATGAACGCAGACTCCTCTTTTCTAGCTTCTATTTTAAAATGACTTCAGATGAGAGTATAACTAAATATTAAGGACCAAGAATAACTCCATAAAATGTACTGTCGTTCCCAGAGTTCCCTATTTGCTCCGTGGGACGAGTAGGAAGGACCCTGGGAACGAGGTAGAACCATTCTCCTCAGTCCTGCTCTCTTATCCGTTCACTTAATAAAGCAGATCATATCATATGATCTGCACAGTTTGTCTGAAGACTACTTCTGGATGTATGGCAGCAACTCCATGACACTAAACAATTTATGCCCTGCTCTGCAGCATGTAATATTTAAGAAGGAATGCCGCTAAGGATTGAGCAAAATTGGAAATGGTCAAACAAAACCTTCTCTCATACTTTGTGTGTAGTTAGTAGTTCAGATGAAACTACTCACTGTGGTATTTGCATGACTTCAAACAAAAACCTGCACTGCGCGTGAAGTTTGGGCCAAAAATTGCATTTTTCGAGACAATATTTTCTCCTTAACAATTGGCGTTTTGTTAGGTAAATATTTCAGAAAGCAGACTAACAGCTAAAAATCTATTTACATGATAGTAAAATATCATCCTTCCTCTCAAAAAAATGTTATCAAGGAGAAAATTGTCCCAAAAAAATGCAATTTTTGGCCTAAACTTCCCCCCCCGTGATGTACAGTGCAGGTTTTCGCTTGAAAAGCGAAGCACTAACTACACATAAAGTATGAGGGAAGGTTTTGATTGACCATTCCCAATTTTCCTCAATCCTTAGCGACATTCGTTCTTAACACTTAATGACTGGTCCCTCGGGAAACAGTTTATTTTGTTTCCCGAGAATCTCAGAAATTAACTGTTTCCCGAGGGACCATCGTTACATAGCTAGAAATTCGGCGGTCGTCGGTAAACATTCGCGGGTGACAGTGCACTGTTACCCTCTGACGTCATAGATTTTGCAATGCTGCTCCCTCAGAGATTTTGGCGGGAAACAGTTTCATTGTTAGATGTCATGTGACCTTGAAGTAACCAATGAGGGCGGACGCTGTTGGGAAACTATTCCTCTACAATGGGCGTTTAGTTTCCCCTCCCCCATATTAACACATCAGACCCCTCTAACCAACTTGGCATAGGCACACCCTTAGCACAAGTTGTGACAAACAAAAAAACTTTTCACAGCTTAAAAATGACGTGCAAAAGGATAAAATAAAAGGAAGGGGGAAAATGGAAAATAGAGAAGAGGAGGGAAAGCAAAAAGTATTCAGTCCAAGCGCCAGAATCAATAACGTGTTTCCAAATCTCTTTATTTTGTACTGCTTTTCTTGAGGAAGTACATGTCGCGAAAGACAATGGCATTCTGGCCGATGACGTTATAAGCAGGACTATTTGAAAAGCTACTTACGAACCATGACTGATAAAGCTAACTGGTCCAGCGGCCTAGTTTATGGAAACATTACGCTTTTTAATTCTTATGGATGATAACTAAGGAGTCCTTCTTTTCAGCAAAGTGTTTTCCATCCCTGACAACAGAAAGATCTTTAATCAAAGCCAGAGTTTCTTCCACAAGCTGCGGGTCCGCCATCTCGCGGAAATTTGCCGTCACTGTCATGAAGTCGAGCAGTCGATTACCTTCGGTTGACTTCGGGTCAAATACCTCGGTGACATCGTAGGAAGAGTCGTGGTGATCCACTTCATATTTCCAGCCATTTTTGTTGGCGACCTCAACAATCTTTTCCACTACATCGTGAGTCCCATCACGGTACACGCCACTCTGCAGTCGTTGCTTCAATGCCACCTTAAACATCAAATCCCTTCTTGTAGCAATGCAGATGATGTATCCTTTATCGCCAAGTTCAATCTCGTAACAATGACGTAAAGCTTTCTCGACATCGTTAAAGTAGATGCTGTGGATGAAATGTATGATGTCAAACTTCATGGGCTTTTTCTGGCTTTCTTGGTACTCTTCAAAGGTTTGCTGACAGATTTCAAACGCCGTTTTGCCATCGTTTAGCGGATTTGGAAGATTTTCGATGGCTGCTCTGTACAGGTCGCACGCAGATGCATTTGGCTCAATGGCTCGGTTAAAGATCTTCACATTGCACCCCAGGTCTGTCTTTGCCAATTCTTCCTTAATCAATTTCAGGATTAACAAATCCATCACTCCGTCTGAAGTTCCAACGCTTAGCACATTTAATTCCAGGCACCCAGGAATTTTTTTCTGTTTAAAACTTAGTTGCGGTAAGCGAGATAGCAACATTTGTTGATTCAGCTCATTTTGCAAAGTTTTCCTTCGAAACACAGCATAACTCTTAAGGTAGTTTTCTTCACTTATTACGAGCGACAAACTCATTTTGTTCCACTGGCGAGTGCTTAGTAACTTTGAAGTAAGAAATTGCAGTGGTGGGTCAAATGTGCATGGACTAAAAATGTAACTTAAAGTAGGATTAAGGAGGTTTTAATTGTGTTTAACCTAAACACAGGCTGTACAAATAGTGATAACAATCATGTACTATTCATTTCCTTGGGGCTTTGCCAGGACAATCTGAGCCCACTAAAATTTACTAAAAAACCTAAATTACTATTTCCTTTTTGTTTTTTCAAAAGCAAAAACGTTTCTCCTCATCAATTAAATTGCAAAAATAATGGTGCAGCTTTGTTATTTAAGACTATATTTAAGGCAAAGAAACTGTTTCCTGTCCTCTGTTGCTACGGATGGTAAAGATGAACCGATGGATTGAAAATGGAAAAAGTTGGACCAGCTTTTTCAAGTTTTAACATATGTTAAGCCTGCAAAAATTGCCAAAGTGGTTAGTGCTCCCTGGTAAAAATTGTATTGTTTACTACAGGAGCATTTTTGTATGGTTAAACGTACTAAGCAACGACTTCAGCACAAAACTGACTTCTACAGCAATAACCTCATAAACTCTTTAATGTCCGTGAGCTTTAATGCCAGCAGGGTCAATAGCGAGTCAGTCATGTGTCAGTCGACCAAGGGTTAAAGTTTTTTCGTTTTGTTTTATCGCACGTAGTTGAATAAAAATTGTAAATTGCGGTGACGGTATTTAGGTAAAACTATTAGTTCGTTGTCGCTAAACACAACAGAACTTTAAGAGTATGAAAACGTAGTTTATTTTACTTTGAATTTGTTTAATCAACTGCTTACAAACATTCTAATTGATGCAAATGGCAAGTAAGGTTAATAAGGCCGCCTTTGCCCAGCTTTTGAGACCGAATGTACACACCAAACATGTATTATAATTACACGGCATTGTAAGTTGCGCAGCTCATTAAAGCGAAACACGTTAGTTCACTTTTAAAGTTGTAAATATTTTTATGTCGAATTTTTATCTATTCTACTCAAGTGAGTTTTTCACTTGATCTTGTTTGATACGAGTTTTTTTGTACCTCTGGAAAATGAAATAGCAGACAATGATCAATGACTATGCAAAAGTTGGTGGGTAAACACGTTGTATTGTGGGCAAAGTGAAACTGGGGAATTGCCTTCCACTGTGAAATACGTTTGTCTCAATCCCTTGTAAAAAAAAACATTGACTTGAAAACTCTGGCTCGTTGGACTCCACTGCTTTGTTTATTTCAGATAAAACATTTAACATATTCATTGCCATGGTTACTTTGTCTACATTCAGTGTAATGATTTCTTGCAGCGACAGATCGGGATCTCAAACAAGACTCGAACCACTCCCTCCCTGCCTGCACTCATATCCGACATGACCCTACTACAGTCGTAGGTTTTGAGTCAGTCTTCATAAAAGAGGTTAAATAGGTCCAGCTCGTGAGGACACTGCTTTTAGTGGCTGCACATGGACGCCTGCACATTTAAAATATATTCTAACTCCAAACAACCTATTTTCGATATATCATAAAATACTACTTCACTGCAAGGTTTAAGATACGATAAACGAGCAAAAAAACATGTGCAACTTGTTTTGCAACATTGCTGCAAAACGAGTTGAATAACGAATAACGAATAACGTTGAATAACGTTGAGCGTTTTACCACCCACGCAAAAACATTGCAACCTCATTTGTTGCAAGATGCGTTCCAACATGGAACAACATCGCTGTTCAACTCGTTTTACAGCAATGTTGCAAAACAAGTTGCACGTTTTTTGTTGCCCGTTTTACTGAAGTCTTAGAGAGAAGAAGATTCTCAAGCATCAAGGCTTGTATTCTTCACTAACCAAAACTGTATTCATATGAGATCGAGAATGCTATGCCATCTGAAGAGGCATGAATTATTTGCAACGATTTTCTTAAGCCAAGAAGTTAGTTTTGTCGAGTTTGTCCTTAAAAACTCATAGACTATCTGTGAGAAGTTGACTTGACTTTTCGACAATGGGCTATTTAGCTTTCTCACATACAAAAGTTCTAAGATTTTGAGTGAAAGTAAGCGTTTCCTCACTGTGTTATGGTTACTTAAACTAAACCTAAGCCAAACGAAAAGATATTTCGTTATTGTTTATTGATCACGTTATAATATACTCTCGCGTATAGTAATGGGTACCTTAACTATACTCTATAACAACCTACAACAAACTTATCTTGGAAGTGATACTACAACAGAGCTTCTATATCCTTTGCGATGTCCTACAGAAGGGAAATAAGAGAAAAAAGAACGGTCATTAACCATACATGATTTCTGAGCGGGAAGGAAGGGAGGGTGCAGGGTTAGTAAGGGCTAAGACTACCTCTCTCGATGCGCACAGATTTAACCAAAAAGAAAATTAAGGTGGTTGTAAAAAAAAAGACACTTCCTTAAAACAAATAAAAAAATCAAAAGATGTATTACTTCAGCCATTCACTTAAGTTGGTTAGCACTGACATGATAAAAACGATCTCTTGGATCGCTGAAAAAAAATTTAGAGAGCGCAGCGATTATTGGCCATTTAAAGTTTTTCGCGTGACAACGGGTCGGTGTTGTGCCGTATTGCACTATGGGATGGTTTGAGGGACGCTATCACTTCTCTTAGGCTGTGTTCACACTATAAGAGATAGCTTTTTGCACCGGCACGGAAACCATACCAGATAGGGCTTGCGTTCACACTTAACAACGGTGATTGCGGCGCGATTTCTGTAACGGAGCGAAGCTGCGCCGCGCCGATCTCTGAAGTGGAGAGTCGCCCCAAGTCGCCCCAAGTTGCCCCAAGGCTCTGTTTCAAAGCGAGACTAAGTCCCTGTTTACATGAAGTGGGGGACCCCGGTTTAGTGGGGTAGGTTTCTTTTGTTTTGTGTCCCCCAGAGCGTGAAAACAAAAGAAACCAACCCCACTAGACCGGGGTCCCCCACTCCATGTAAACAGGCCCTAAGTGTGAAGCTTTTGTTAAGAAAATGATTTTTTATTCTCACGCAGATAAAATTCATTTTCACCAAAAAGTATTTGCACTTGGCCTTGTTTTGAAAGTGAGAGTTTTTGGAACTCGAAAATGGCCTATTTGAGCTAGCCTCGTGTCCATGCAATACGGCTTCAAAGATCGATTTATCATGCTGAATTAAGCGAAAGTGCAAAGTATTATTCCAAAAAAACAACTCTCGGAAATAAGAGAATTCAAATTGGTAACGTTTATAACGAAGTGTGTGGAAGGAGCTAAAACTTACCAGAGGCTGAACGTTCGGGGCGTATCGCTTCACTGGTTTACCATTGCGATCACACAAGAACTGAAAAGTAAAAACCCGGGATTAATAGCCCACGTTCGATATATTAAAATTCTAACATGACTCTGAGGCTTTCTGGTCATTTTTCTATATTTGGTGTGGCCCAGGTTCGGATCCTGGCGTCGACACCATAGGAGAGAGGTTTTTCTCCGGGTACTACGGTTTTCCCCTCTCCTTAAAAAACCATTATTCCAAATTCCAATTCGATCTTGAACACACGGACACGTTTTAACGAGTTCTTAAAACTCCTAAGTGCTCCGAGGGTAAACTAGTTACAATTACAATTTATAATTGGGGAGAAGCGTTACGTGACGAGACAAAAAAAAGGCTACGTTGACGTATGGCCAGAAGCATATAGGGTGTATGCTTCTGGTATGGCCCAACGATAGTCATATTTACAGGTTTCCACTCTATTTATATCAGTCTCGTCTGTACCAACCTTGCCAAAATTCCACTTGATAAAGCTAAAGAAAATAGAGAAATACGAATAAAAGAGAAAATTAAAAGAATTCACAGGAACTAATACCACGACTAGAAAATTTTTTACCTTATTTTTTCAGGAAGATTCAAAGATTTCACTGCAGGGCAAACTAAAGTGATGGTAAAGAACTGATTTTCATCTGCTTTTCTTTCTGTAATGAACTATCTATACTAAAACTATAAATCACATACAAGAGACCAACATTCATAACTTCCATATGGAACTTGCTGGAGCGAAAAATGGTTTACTTCCAAGCAACCCGCCATGAATTATAAAGAAAACAAATTGTGAACAAATCTAAAAACTGGCCTTATTGTCAAAACATCTGCGGCACTGCAAGTCATTTTAGAACTCGTCCGATTATCATCAGTGGAGTTTGCCATAAGGAAGTGAGACTGGCCCGATAAATCGTAACGTGTAAATTGCTAGGCCGACAGAACGCGCCCACATATAATATCGTGTAAACTGGTCTTTCTACAACACCAGAATAAGAGTATATTGTGTAACAGAGCTATTGTGTTGTTTAAGTTGTTTTACCTTCCTAATGTGCCTTTTAGTTGGCTCTTCAGATACTTGTACAAAGGTAACGCATATGCACCATTGACATTTATCTTTGCAAACATATCAAACTTGACACCATAGCCGTCAGCAAACTGTTTAATTACAGGCTCTGGATCCGGTTCCTGTGAATACAAATGACTGCATTCAACTCTCTTATAGCGACCACTTCCTGTAAGCCCGGGGAGGGGGACTCCCCTATAAACGCCATATAGGTATGTGCCGCCCTAGAGGGTAGGGTTTTTGTGCCGTTTTGGTGTGAAAACGGGTATAGATTTGGCCCGTTTTAGTCTGGAATCGGATATGGTTTTCGAGGGAACTACGGGAGTGTGTGAACGTATTTACCGTTTCAATTCCAAATGAATTAGAAAGAAAGAGATATATGCGAATTCGAAAAGGATTTTAAGAAATCTTTTCTGTTGGCGTTCTAATCTAAGTAATAAAGACATAATTTCTTAGAGGCCAGGTCGGAAAACAGGTGTGAAAATTGACATTTTTTGTTCTGCAATAGGGTCAAGATTTGGAGAACCGGGCGGCACACCCCCCCAAGAATTCCCAGAAGATCCCCTTCCCCCCGGCTCGTATGCGACCACCTGTCGTAAACGAACATTTTGAAAATAACCGTTTTGTTTCTCAGTCAAATACTGTTTCTAAAAACTCTCTCGTAAGCGACCACTACTTAAATTTCTTAACGACCGCAACCACTTTTTCAAGCAGAAATTTGACCTTTTTTTGCTTTCTGTTCCCCGTGAGCGACCACCCGGTGTGGCCACCCGGTACGATCGTAGGAAAACCATCGCACGAATGTCACAAAAGTTCAGTTTTTGATAGCGCTGACCAAGCGTGCTGACAGAATATAGCAGTTGACTTAAAAAAAGGTGGAGGTAATATGGTCTGGAGATGAAAAGGTGGATTGTATCAGTGATGCAAAATGCTATGCAGAAAGTTTTAACAGTTCCACGCGCTATTCGATGTATAAGAGTATTGCCAGTTGTCTATTTGCCTTCGTTTTACCTTTTAAGGTAATAACTTTATGTAATTATGTTAATCAGTTCAGTTTGAGCTGATTTTCTTGATTTTTCCCGTAGATGACCACCTCCCGTAAGCGACCAGTTTATCGTGCGGTAAGTGTGGTCGCTTATGAGAGAGTCGACTGTAGTTGACTTCGTAATTCTGTAAATTTTAAAATCTTTTTCTTCCTCGGTCATGAAGACTTAGGACCCGTCCACAAGATTTTCTTTTTCGTTTTCAAAACATATTTTCGCCCACACCTGTCCGTCCACAATTAAATGGCGTTTTCAGGCACCAAAAACGCAGGTTGTGTATACCTGTTTTCCAAACTGGTTACACGGGAATCCAAGAATTCGAAGACCACGTTCCGCATAAGTGGAGTGCAGTTCCACGAGCTGGGTGTAGTTCTTCGCTGTTAAACCTCAGAAGGACGCTACGTTGACAATAAGAGTCACAAATCCCCTGAAAATAATAAGGCCAAACATTTCAACCCAGCCCAGCAAAATAACGGTAAACTATTCAATGCACACCTTTGAACAGCACCTTCAGAGGTGAACTATCCTTGTTCCGAAATAAGAATATATGAAACGGTCGTTTCGCTACAAGTCGTTTTGCTGCATAATGAAGTCGTTTCGCAGCATCATAAAGTCGATTCGCTGCAACCAACTTTTTGTATTAAACAGTTTAGAAAAATTTAGAATGAAGTACAAACGGGTAATAACGAGTAAAGTTAGCGAAAAGACTCTACAACTTTGCAGCGAATCGACTTTATCATGCAGCGAAACGACTTGTAGCGAAACGACCATACTCCAATATAATAACGTGCAGGAAAAGTTCTACCAGGGCAAAGCCGGGAGTAGTTGGAGCAGATAAACATGAACGATGATTTCGTCCCATGGAAATGGAGCCAAAAAATAAACCATGTAGTTAATGAAAAGAAGTTTCCTGTGGTACTGTTTATAATGCTGCGCAAAGGGTTTCTAACTTTTGAGTCTGTAGTTGATATCCTAATGAGTGACCATTCAAAAGAAAGCTACTGTTTATGATACTGTACAAGGTGGTGCTAAATTTGGAGTATTTGGCTGAAATGCTAAAGTGTGACCATTCAAATAAAAAATATAGCGCATTACTATCCTGCAGTACTGTTTATAAGGCTGCAGAAAATTGTTCAAACGTCGAAAACTGGGGATGGAATACTTGTCTTTAAGCGAAAGCTACTGTGCAGTTACTTCCTGTGGTACTGTTTATTATGTACTACAAGGTGTTCCTAACTTCTGAGTCTGTGGATGAAATGCCCTAGTGTTTTTTAAAGCGGTTTTTTTCTGTTTAGAGTTCTAAGGGGTGTGACATTCATTTTGGGCTAAGACTGGCCAATCAGAGACCTTTTTATCGTTACCAGTAATTACCTGTATTTTTCAAGTGACACATCATTGCCTTGAATGTCCTTTGCACTGAACTCAAATATCGACTTGGCATTCTTCACCTGTTCTTCAACTTCCTTTTGAATCACATAAATCACAGACAAACCAACTAGGTATTAAGCGAATATTTTAGATAATGAGCAGACCTTTTATTTGCTTGAGAAGGCATGAGAGAAAATGGCTATGAGAGCAAGTGGGAAAGGTGCTGCTTCTGTGTTTTATTCCACTAATTTTAGTAAAAAGAGACTGCTAGCAATCTACCAAAACTCTTAAATTCTACACAAAATATCACAAAAAGAAACAAATAACTAAAACTCAGTGGAAATGGACATAAGAAAGATCTCTCCTGTTTAAACTTTGGTCCTAAAATAATTTGTTAGCTACAATACAGGCCAAAAATTGATCAATTACACCACACAAAGCCTTATAAGCCATGAGTTACTGGTGATAACATATATTCCTAGTAAAATAAAACTTAACAACTTAACTACCTCTTCGGCCTGCCCTGTAGCAGCTCCTGACTTTTCAAAAGCTTTCAACCAAGAAAGTCGTTCTTCATCAGAGCTAAAACCAAGTCTCAAATCTGTCATTAAAAATAAAAGGACCCAGAAGGACCATATAAACCTTCCCCATACAATAACAGTTGGACGGCATACATGTATAATGTGTTTGTTAAAGACAAGGCTTAATTTATCTACAAGCTGGACAGTTGAAGAAGCTGGAAACTTTTATCATGGTATCCCAAATTAAAAACCTCTCGCTTTACCCTGTTTTACCTTTCAACTCCCAATATCTACATACAAATTCTCCAGAATGATCTCCACATATTTCATTAAAGAACCGGTTGACAAAATTTGTAAACAAGATCAAAGCATTTTTCCCTTAGTGATCATTTTATAACTTCCTGATACCTTTTCTCCTAAGTTTAGTTTGATATTGATAGGCTGGTGGTCTCTTCAACATTGACAGATTTAAATAAAAGTTGTACATAAAAGACAAGGCTGTATCTACCAGCTGGATAGTTGAAGAAGTTGGAGACTTCTATCATGGTATCGCAAATTAAAAACCTCTTGCTTTACCCTTTAAGCCACAATATCCAAATACAAATTCTCAAGACTGATCTCCACATATTTCATTAAACAATTAGTTGAGAAAATTTGTAAATAAGATCAAAGCATTTTTCCCTTAGTGATCGTTGTATAAATTCTCCTAACTTTTCCTTTTGACTGTCTATTGATGTTATTAAGAGAAAATGGCTGTTGATCACTGTTAGGACTTAAAAGGGTTCATAAAAAAACTGACCTACTGACCTGACCTCTGAATGTCTGCAAAGGTTAACAAAATGCAAAATTTGGTTGATTTGTCAAGTCTTACTGTGGCCTCTTTCAGTGGGTATTTTTTGGAAGGTGTTGAGTGCTAGAAAAAAGAAGACAAAAAACTTAAAATCAAACTCTACTAATGTCAAGTCTATCAAACTTAAAGACATTAACAGCCAGGCTTTTAACCAAGAACTAAGCTAAGAGAATACATGATAACAGATCAAGCATTTTCCTTTTTGCGATCATTTTAGTTATTCTCATAACCCTTCTTTTTGTTGATGTATGGACATTGTTAGGAGAACATTGACATTTGTCATACTTAGCAATTAAACAGTTAAGGAGGTGTAGTTGACCCCCTCACTGTTGCTAACTGCCACATATTGCAAGGTTGTGCTGTGAAAGCGACTAGTAGTCCCACCTGGCCACTCACTCTCTGCGTATAGGTCATAAGTAAATGAATGATTCCTTATTCCTCACCAAATCAGTTCTGAACTCATAGAGTGTGTCATCCTCAGGTCTGAGGACTATAAACACCTGCTGCCACTTAAGCAATCCCTTCCTCTGTGCAGGGCCAAACTTAACACCGCAGTCCGACTTAAGTGAAGCCACAGAAGGACCAGCTGGCGACAGATGAGCAGGATCTATGGCATAAAGGAAAGACGAGTTGACAAGAGGGACTGAATAGTGACGTACGTTGGATATGAAAGAACGTGATAATACAGTGTGACCCATTACGTACCATCCTGACGGAATCTGTAGTATAACTCTCTGTCCTCAAAATTGTGTTCATCAACCACATGGTGAACCAGATCTGCATCCAGTAGGGACTAAATAACAACGTAGAAATGGGTGAAAATCTTAGAAGAGAGACAGGTAGCAGGCTAGCTGGCTTGACTAAAAAAATGCTGGATTTCAGCTGATGTCACAGCAACCATGCTGGTTCAAACAAGAACGGAAGTGTTTAAAATCTTGATGCTCTGAATTTTTCCTGATATACTTCTAGTGTTTTAAGAGGATAATTTCTGTCTAAAATGTTCCCTAAATCAATTTATGATTTGAAGTTTTTTGGAAATCCGTTTCAGTTAACCACTCTATTAGGTGCTCTTGTATAAGTATCACTGACAAGAATTTCTTTGAAAATATCAGAACAGATGTCAAAATTAGGATTTTTCCTATCCTGATCACATATTGGTCAGGATTTGGGATTTTCAAGCAAAATCAGGACTAGGAATGCTGACAAGATCAGGATGGTTGAACAATCTGTATTGATCACTATGTAGTAGATGGGTATAGTGATTACCTGTCCTAGCTGAACGCCCTCTTCCCTTGAGCTTGCAAATCCATTGGCAAGAAACCAGTCAATTGTTTCGGATCCTAAGAAAATACAAACCATGTGTTCAGGGGCGTAGTCAAGATTTTTCAAAGGGGGGGTCACAGCAGGGACACCATCCGGGGATTGCCGACTATATATGGTTTATACCGCTGCTCTCCCTCGTGTATCAGCGGGCTCAGTCATATTATCGCGGCATTAAGGCCCATATTAACTAAAGACAAGAGCCATTGACGAACATACTTCACAAAAAGACAAATTTTAAAAAAGTGGGCTTTTCAACAATGGCCAAGATATTGTCATGGCGTTTTCGCCACCTGAATATTGTAGGTTGTTTGCTCAAAAGAAGGCCTACCAAGGGGGGGTCATGGGCACCCCAGGACCCCCCCCCCTAGCTATGCCCCTGGTGTTGGGTATCTAAGGGGCTTGCCAGTATTAGAGCTATGGGGCTAAATAGAGGAAATGCGGAAAGCTGCACTATTACAGAGATGCCAATATACCTCCGGAGATCTAAAATCTAGAGATTCTCTTTTTTGCCCTACAACCCCCTCCCCCCCTCTTCAAATGCAGAATGTCAACAGCCATACCGTCCACCCCCCAACAACAAATTGACCCAGCCGCCAACGGTTAGGGCATTATGTGAGGTCTTACATGCATGAATTACATGCTATCAAAATTTGCTTTCATTATTGTAATAATGAAATAATCTTTATCAGTGACTAAATACGAGCAAAAATGTCCCAGAAACTGTGTGATGAATAAAAAAGTTTGAATTTTGAGAAAGAAAATGGGCTAAATTTCAAACTAAAGGACAGCAAAACTCAAAAGTCCATTTTACCCAGGAGATTTGGTGACCTGTATGGGAGAGCGGGAGATCAGTGCCATATTCGAGAGTCTCCCAGAGAGTTGGCATATATGGTATTGAGTGGCCTGATCACAGACCTACCTACAAAGCAAACATGATATCTTTTTAGATGATAATATCTGTCCTTGATTGTAAGACCACCTTCATCTGGAGAGGCCCTTAACTTAGTACAAATGCTTTCAATCTGAAAAAAAGACAGATAAGTCTTAGAAAATTAACAGATTTATTATATACTAGTATGTCCTTAGGCAATCACAAACAGTGTTTTCATGATAGTAACGGGAGCATTATTAAATTCTACTAATCTTGCTATTTGCTTCTTAAAAAAGGAAGAAAATTGACACAGGTTGACGCCACCTTGGAAAATATTATGACCACTGAAACGAATGAAACGCATTATTTATTATACATACAATAACCACCCCCTGATAACTAAAGGGCCATATACATTGTATAGAACACAGTAAATTGTAGAAAAGATGAAGTTCTCAGTTTTAATTATGCATGAAATAGATTTGTAATGACATAAGATATGTACAAAGTTAGACCAAAAAATGCAAGTTTAGTTTGTTTTGTTTTGTTTTTTTTTTTTACAAGAGGCAGCACATTGTAAATGTTAGCCCTTCCAGACAGCCTGTCCCCATAATGCCCATATCATAGCTGGGGCGTTTGAAGGCTGACTGTTAACCACCCTGCAATGAGGGCTTTGGGCTTGCATACCATCACAACGACATGTTATAGAGTCTTACATTACAAAACAGCAAAAATTGCAAAAAAATATTGTCTGGAATTCTCTGCAACTAGCCTATTCACCTGATGAACTACAATTCCGCAAGTGTGCGGCTACAATTAGTAGGTTAGCAAGACTTATTTTTGACTCACGCGCGCTGTATTCTGCGCATGAGAGCAATTAATAATGGAGGGCAATTCATACGTTGTATAAGGGTTTGTGCGGCAACAAATTAATGTTCCAAACACGGTGCACACAATATTGTGCAAGATGGCAGCAATATTTTGCTCTAAACACAGGCACAACCGAAGCAGAATTCGAAACTGTTAGGTTGTATGTAAATCATGGACTTACCGGCTCCAATACAACAATAACACACTCACAGTGCTTGCAAAGCAACCATGCATGAATTGCTAACATTCTAGCCGGCTTTGGAATTCTAATTCCGATTTTGCAAGGTACTCGGTTCTCAATAAGACACAGTAAAAGCCTAGCGTAAGATTGGACTGTGTCTATGGGCCCGTCCGTCGGACGGACCTCGTGGCTCGAGCTTAGCAGAGGAGCAGTACATTAGAATCGTAAAGGCAAAACTATCCAAGTTATCACCTAATTGTTTCATCATTTAACAAACAATCGGACAACTTACCTTTTCGCGATCGATTTCACACATCTTTGCGATCTGCCAAAGGCTGAAGTAAATCACAGTACTGCACTCAATCCATTTCTCTCCAGGCACGGAAATTTCATCTCATTCACGTGACCACACGCACAGGCGTTGCGTTTTGGGCTCTTTACGCGTTACTAAGGAATTTTCGGACAAGCTAGTTCGGCAAATTAAACAAATTGAAAATGCTCAAAACAAGGATAGGAACTTACAGTTTTATGTCAGAAATTCAGGCCGCTAATTTTGTAGAAGAAAGCTAGAGTTAAAGCCTGTGTTACTGATCGATTATACTTTGGTTCTTTTGTGGGCAATGTCCCCGGGGGCGCAATGTCTTACTCTATAAACGGCTGGTTAAAGAAGCCTGTTCTTTGGGTGTAAATTAAATATTCTGTTGCAAAAAACAAACAATTAAAAAAATGTAGAAAGCATACTTCGATTGATGAGGCATCCTCAAACTTTTTTCACCTATCGAAAGAGGTACTCCGATTAAATGATACAATGAAACTACTGATTTTATTGAACACACCACTTTTTTCACCGAACATAATCATATATTCACGGAGACTAATCATCACTCTTTCCTAATTAATGTCTAATGCAGCTGCATGTTGAACGTAAGTTCACAAGCTCCACCGCAAAAAAAAATGCATGGTTCCTGAATGATCAGTTCCAAGAGGAATCTTTCCCAAAAGTAGAAAGGATGGCAGAGGTTAGTGTGCGGCCTTGAGTGCATGAGATCCCAAGTTTGATCCCCAGTGACGTCGCAACCTTGTTTCAACTTCTCTCGTTTCTGTGTAGCTTTAACTAGCTTTAAATACCCTTAAACTTCAAATGGAGCATTGAAGGACAAAGGCGGGAGCAAGGGGTGGGGGGGGAGGGGGGCGGGGTGGTAAAATGAGCACACCATTGATCAGTTGAGTTACTGTCATTTAAGTTATTAATGTAAAATATGTCTGCTTTATCTTTTTACCATGTTCAAGCTTTGTTACAGTGCACAGAGAAAATATGCACTGAACTGATTGTTTTTCAAATAATTTGCCCATGGGTCATGTTCATCATTAAAAGCCTTAAAGTACAAAAAGTGGAAGCCTAAGCCACATGAGCAAACTAGAGGGCAGGTACCAACAATGATGTTTTGCCGTTTATAGAGCTCATCAGCATGTCATAATCACAAACATAATTAGGGTGAGTGAAAAACCACCCATCTCATAAATGCTATGATTTCCACTCCAGTCAACCTACAAACTAATTCTTTACTCATTACCAACTGTCAATCGACCGCTTGCTCTGGTTATAGTGGTAGCCACCTCCCCCCGTGCCACAGACACAGCATGTGCCCACTGAGTAAAGCATTTAGGGCCACTGTCCGTCACTTCCTTTCGTCCCATTGCTGTCACGACATCACCATCGTCTGTCACGACAATCAACTTTGGAATTGCTGTGACATGATAACGATTTTTTAGCTCCTGGATCATTTCACTGCCGAAAGGAACAGCCAACCAATCTCCATGACTTTGCTTGAAATACGTTTCCATATCTGTTGCTGTTTTATCAGATGAAACGAACACTACTTCGAAAGGAAGCTCGTTTTCGTGCAGCTCGTTGTAGAATTCGCCCAAAATTGGTGTAAACTCTTTGCAAGGCGGACACCATCCCGCCGAGAAATACAACGCTACAACTTTGTTTTGAAGTACTTCCTGTGGGTAAACGATCATTCCGGATTTTCTAACAAGGTGCCTATCCGCAAAAATGTTCATATTCACTTCTTTGTTCAGCTTTCCCCGTACTAACAAACGTGACAGCCAGGCGTGACAGCAATATTGTAATGTGGCTCGATTTCTGAGACTTCTGTGCATGCTGTAAGCGGATTTCAACCTATGACGTCAGAATGTTGTGTTATGCAAGAAATATCAAAGATGGCTGCAAGGACGGCTGTGGGAGCAACGATACGAGCAGTCAGTAAACCAAGAAAATTTGCCGCTAGAAAGGCTGCAATAACCCTAGTAAGTCTATCGCTTTCATTGGAATGGATTAAGTAAATTCGTGGTTTAAACATCTTCGAACAAAGAAGTTTTTGTGTTGATAATTTAGTTACGCAGTTTCGTGTAGTCTGTCACGAACGGAATTTTTTCTATCTGCATAAATTCGGTAGAATTTATTGTTTGATACGATCTGTCACATGCTGGTTCTCTGTTTAAAGTATTTGCCACTGTTTCTCGCATTTTGATCAATTTTTAAATGTATTTGCAGCTGATATCTTGTTATATGATGTTGGTGCTTTTACTTAAGCTTAATGTTTTTGATTTTAGACTCCAGCAGCAGTAGGGAAACTTAAAACACTTCTAAACACAGACGCAGGAAATGTAAGTGGTCATTTTCATAAGTAGCCTTCACTTATTTTACCAGTAAATACACTGTCTACCTCCCCCAGGGGTCCTCTCAAGTATCCCCCTCACAATGGTCCAAAGAATTTATGGGTCCTGAAATAAATAAACAACTATTGTTCTATCTCCTGAAGATGGGCTATACTGCCCTTTGCAGATCAGACATTTAGATTTAGCAGGGGATTTACGGGGACCTCAAGGGCAACATTTGACTCATTTGTTTTTCTGAAAGCAGAGGCTACTTTTTTGCAGTTTGTACTGGTGTGCAAAAAAGTAGATTTTGCAACCAATCATCCATTCCTATCCAGAAATGTGGACAAATAAATTAAAACTAACTGATTTCCAACTGACTCTATACTGGTTTGGTTATTGCATCAGCTTGGTCTGCTATTGCATCAAGTTTACCCAGCATGTACACTTTTTGAGGGATGTAAAGGTCACAATTTTTCAGTGACTTGTCACAACAACGTAAGATAGTTGTGGATGTATTTATTTGTTTTCCCTCCCAAGAAGAACAAAAAACTGTTTTAGGTCAATATGTGGCAATTTATGTTTCAAGTGTCAAAAACCATTTCTGCATCACAGCTGTTTTTGTCAGCAGGAGTTGACGCACATTGGACTAAACATTGGCTGGACCAAAAATGCACTTTTGTTAACGCCACTTTTCTCATGAAATGCATCAGGAGAATGGGCGTGCCCGAGACAGCTGTCAGCAGAAGCTACTTTGTGCACGCCAGTACCAAGTAGCCTCTGGTTTCAAGTGGAATATTTAACAATTATTCCTCGAGCCTGAATGGGCTCTGAGTCAATAGCCCGTGAGGCGGAAGGCTGAATGGGCTATTGACTCAGAGGCCATTCGGGCTCAAGGAATAATTGTTTTAGTAAAATCCAACTATTTGGCCAAAAATATCGAGAATAAAAAAATTTTAGCTGCTTAAAGCTAGACTTTAGTCCTTTTTTGCCGCCAAAAAGCTGGTGCTTTTCGCTACTAGTGGGCTATAACATATAGCTACTAGTAGCTCAACCAATCGGAATGCAGCATTGATAATAGACCACTAGTTGGATTTTACTAAAAAATAATATATTGTCAGGCTTGCTCTTAATTTTAAATCAAAATGAGTTTCAACCTCTTAAAATACTCAAAATGTTCTTGTTTTCACCAGACTGCGTTGAAAATAGGTGTCAAACAAAAAGGTTGCAATGGAATGCAATATACCTTAGATTATGCAAAGGAAAAGGGCAAGTTTGATGAAGAAGTCAATCAAGATGGTGAGTAGATCAACCCTAGTGAAGAAGTGCATATTGGTAGAAGATAATGTTGTGAAGTCTTTTTAGTGGGAACCTTTCATGTTAGGGGTTCACACAAGGCAAGAAACTGTATAAAGAGCTGGTTTAAATTAAAATGTGTATTGGCACAAAATCAAACTGACATGACAGCCTTTTCACTGGCATTAAGGTTGATTGTTTTGCAGTATGATAAACAGAGAACATCAGCGTGTGTAAGTTAGGGTATTGTCCTAGAAGACCCTGGTAGGGTACAGTTCTGACAAGGCCATGGCCTTTAACCCTTTAATTCCCAATGGTGACCAACATCAATTTTCCTCTAACCATATCCATAGATTGTCCAGAGATCTAATTGTCAGAAGTTATGAGAATTAATAAGTTGATCACCTAAGAGAAAATGCCTTGATCTGTTATCAAATTCTCTCAACCCATCCATGAAGGAAACGTATAGGGATCAGTTTGGAGAATTTGTATGTGGATATTGGGGCTTAAAGAGTTAAAGAGCAACATGGCCACCACCACCACAAAGATGGGTTTAAACTGCAACAGCAATGAAGAAAAGTGCAATAAAATATTTAATTATACCAAAAGGGACATGGTCTCTTCCTCAGTGCAACAGCCTGCTGTGATGTGGCTGTGCCAAGTATGTATGATTCACCAGGAAATAAATCGGCAAACATTATCAAAATGGTGATGTCAAGCGCATAAGCAGCAGATGTAGGACAGGCTTTAAAATAGACTAATACTAAAAGAAATTTTGTAAGCCCACAAGGAAAAAGGAAGGGGAGAATTACTGCGGGTTCAAAAACATTAAAATGCACATCCCATTTTCCCAAATGCCCCACCTTGTTCGTGCGCCTGCCATGGAGGTATTGAGTGAAATTGTCATAAATCATTGGAATTTAGCAGTCCCATACACCACTGTTAACAACTGGAGGGACATTTTTTAGCACCAAATTTTGGTCTCTTGGCCCAAAAATTTGGGATGTTTTTAGACTTCCAATATAAAAAACGTTTCTTTTTCTTTCTCGTTTTGTTGTTTCAGGGGTGAAAATATTCATTGATTCAAAGGCACAATTGTCATTACTGGGGACAGAAATGGACTATACAGAGAGTAAACTGTCAAGTGAATTTGTATTTAATAATCCAAACATCAAAGGAACATGTGGGTGTGGAGAAAGTTTTCACTTATGATTGCTTGTGTTTGCTGGTACCAGATTAAGAATCTGCCTGTCCTGTGGAGCGTGGTTTATTCATACGTGTCAAGAGTCTGTTTCCCCACTATTGCAGGACTTTCTAATGCACCATCAGTGAGCGTTAGTGTTGAAGGTTTCAATGGAAATGCAAGTCTCCTGATTTTGTTCCACCATGGAGAAACGGAAAGATTAATATTTCATCTTCATTAAACCTGAATTTGAAAAGAAGTGAAGGCTGTGAAAAGCAATCTTAATGTTTCCCTTTTATTGCTTCTAATTACTATCGTCACCCAAAGGTGAATCTGTAGCCAATGTCCCGTTGCGAAGAGGTATTTTTGATTATTTTATGATTTATTGACACAGGAAAATGAAACGAGTTTGCTAAAAAAGATCACCTCTTATCATCACAGGTGTCTGTTGAAAGTTTTTCTTCTTTAGTTCACCTTTTTATTTTCAATTTTTCTATATATTACAGCAACAGCTCCAAGATCTTGCAAATGAAATTTTAAAACTTGGCAGGAGAATGACAAGAATGACACAATTTAATCTTGTCAAGATGTACAATGCTGTACAAATGACTTCACCCTTTAAGCAGCATTTGATGCTATTATTGGTAAAATAAATAAGTAATAAAATTCTATTCAATTGGATGTGAATGAGTTTTGTATTTAGTTAATCTAATGGAGGTGAACATGTATCAAACTTTCTCCATTTTGTCCCTTCCTCACCCAGGAATTCAAATTACAGGGTCAAGTTATATGTAATGTCCTCTTGGAAAGTGCAAGTTGGTCACATAACGGTTAAAAAGAGTTAACAAAAAATGTTTAATAACTCAGAAATGTACTTTCACTTTTAAATCAACAACTTTAATACTGTAGCTTCTAATATAATGGCCCAACTACTTTACAATAATAATTCAATCTTTTAAAAAAATACATACTCTAAAACTCTTTTGTTGAACATTAGATGCTGATGCTTTCCACCATTTGAATTCTTCTCAGATAGAGTTTGTTCCTATAATCAGAAGTATTTTTCTCCAATACTAAACAACCAAGCTGTTTCAAAGACTACTGACTTTTATGTTTACAAAGAGCACAGCCTTCCTTGCTTTGGTTTTGTTTTAAAGGAGCAAAGTGAAGAAGACTTATCTAATTTCACTTCTGAGTCAAATGTGTAACAATTCAATAATGGTCCAAACTTTCACTTCCCTGGTTTAGTTTTTGAGATGTAATTATCAGCCAATTGCACAGTTGTATGCAGCAGGCCAGAGCATATCTTTGCCAAGGTGTACATGTAGTTCATACAGTTTATGTGAAATCCAGAAATGGCACCATTAAACAACACAAAAAACAGACTTTCCTGTCAGCGACGCTGCTCACATCCCCTGTTAGCATGGGTGAAAACCAACCTGTGAAAATCCATATACAACAGCCACTGAGCATTCGGTCCTAATGGCTTTGTTCGGTCAAACTGATTTTTGAGTTCAATGTTTCCATTTCTTTGGCATGGACAACGCCGAACAAAGATGATAAGACAAACTAAAGCCTTATAACAACTTCTGTCCACTTGTTCTAGCCATTCAATGCCAGTCAGTCCACCATAATGGGTGAATTTCCAATGAAAAAAAACTGCACACTGAATTAGTGACATCCTTCCATTCCACGACTGCACAAGATCATAATCCTCTTATGATTGCCTGGCCAGCAATGACATAGACCAGAAATGCTTTAAAAGTTTTTCACAAAAAGCAAGATAAAGCTGGCAGTACAAGAACAAAACCATACAGCTGCATGCACATGTCATCAACAGGCTATACTGCCGCCAATTCTTTTCAAGATTTGATGGCAAGTCTAGGCTGGTTCTGACATCAAGGACTAAAAACAGTCCACTGTAATTTTTCGATGGCCAAACAATTAAGTATCATGTAATTCACATGTACAAATTGTAGGTGTACTCAAATGCAGCTGACTGGATGTCTTGATGCCAATAAGATCTGCTCTTTACTCAGTTTAGTTAAAGCAAGAAGTAGGACAATTCTCCTGAATTTATGAGTCCAACTGCGATGTTTAGCTGTGAAATCCATGTTTGCAGATGTTAATGATCCCTTTCAAAAATACAATGTAACTTTCTACATCGACAGGAAGTCTGCAATAATATTCTTTAGAAGATTGTGTTTCTACTCCTTTCTGGTGTCAATCTGTCTGTAAATGAATGACACACTCACTGCTGTCTTTTAGTTCACTTGCTATTGTTAGCATCGACTCTCAGGACAAGATGACGTTATGAAGGTGCAAGGATAATATTGTTCCAGCATTATGTAACTCTTCCAGCATCCAGAATGTCATGGTCTTGCAGTCTCAACAGAGCACCGGCAGGTACAGTTTGTCTTCTACAGAACAAGGCAGTTTAATATTGACCAACTTTGCAGCACTGTTCTAGTCAACAAAGGTGCAAACACGTATGTATCCAAATACATCTTTAGAACTTGTATAACCTCTTTGAATGGGCAACTTCAACGTGAACAATAATAATTATTAACAGCCATGGGGAATGTTAATCTGAACTTTAACGGAGAGATAATATCGTGTGGGGTTGTTGTAACTACAGCATTGTGGATGCCTCTATAAAAAACAATGTGCTCCAAATGCCATTGTAAATCACCATTCTTCTTCTTCGCCTCCTGTGTTTGAAGACCACGCAGCGGTGCCATTGACTTGGGAGTTAGCATCTTCACTGTTCCAATCACCACCCCAGCCAGGATCTCCACCGCCTCCTTTGCCATCATACTAACAAATAAAATTTAACACCAAGACTCAGATTGAACAGACTCATTTGTACAGCAAAACACTTCTAAGAAAGTTAATTTTCAGTTTCAGGGCAAAATCTCACAAAAAATGACCTTCAAAGCTTCAACTGCACTTGAGCATGGCAAGGTACAGAGTACAGCTGTAGCTGTTTCAACTTTATTTTATTTTTAAGCACACTTTGGGGTCCAGTTGCTTGAAGGCCAATATTATTAGTGCTAACTGGGGTCAAAATTCAATCCCAGACTCTTTTTCATTTCATCAAAAGCATTTTCTCAGACAGGTTTTTCTATTCTATTTAGAGTAGCCAATCATCACACTGCAGACAAAAATAATTAAACTGAATTTGCTTTTTTAAGCTTGCATATCTGATTCAAATTTAGAACAACCTTTAAGGCAACTTCAAAGAATTAAACTAACCCATTTTATGGTGATATGCTGTACGCCATTTTTCTCTAAGCTTTCCTTTTTATGAAGAGACTTAACTTTGTTATAATTTCTCTTCACATAAACATAAATATTTGAATATAATAATTATTCAGATCATCACATGTATTAAAATGTCCAGACAACAACAAAAAAAAACGCTCAGACTAAAAACTCTTTCCAGCACTTCTGCAAATTATTGTAAGAATTCAACGCCTTTGACAGGTTTTTTCAGGGCTGTGCTGTAGCTCTGGTGCCTGACTTTTGCTCCGGGCTAGTAGAAAATCTTATTTTTTTTTCATACAACTCCTATGCTGGCAGGGTGCAAAGAAATTTGTGTCCGATAGTGTTCTCAAGTGAAGTTTTATAAGGAATTCAGATTACAGAAGAACTGTGAAATCACTTCTGCTCATGAAAAGGTTTTTGGGGCTGGTTGAAATGACATTTGGGCTAGTAAATGCTAGCTGCAGCTTGCCCGAATGGCAAGCTGTAAAAATGACTTTCTTTGCACTCTGTTGGGTACCCCAGATTTTACAGGCTCAGAGCACTGGGCTCCCGAGACAGCCTTGTAATAATATTAGAAGACTTTTAACCAAGACTACAGAGATATGTCCAAGTTCGCACACAGCTGCAAAAATTGTGAAAAATTGGAGAAATCGCAGATTTTGTTGACAATGGAAAATTCAAGTGTTGGAGCAGTTAGATGGGGGCCCAACAAAGAACTGCGAAAAATCGCAAGTAACATAATTTAGCACCTGCATGGAAACCTCGACACAAGTGGACAACAAGCAAGTACCTGTCTTCTAGTATCCCTTGAGGCAAACCGTCCTCCTGCTGGGCCATAACTTGTCCCGACAGCACTCTCTGCAATCTCTTCTAGCCACTCTGGAACTTCTTGGGAAGCCTATCATAAAAACAATCACATTAATGACAGAACAGCTGTAAATAAAATGACATGTGAAAAAACCCTTTGAAGACAGTCAAAACATGCTGAAGAACTTTCAACTGAGAAGCTTGATGCAAGAAGGGTTTCCATGTAAGTGACAATTTCACAGGAAAAAAGGTGGTTCAAAAATCCCTAAATTTTCACATGCAAGCTCTAATTGTTGTTGTAATGGCAAACCAGCGGCAAGTTTAAATTGTACTTACGTCAGAGAGAACTTTCACCAGAGCTCTAGCAATCTTGTCGTCTTTGCCTCGGTTGAAGAAACTTGTCGCTTTTCCCTTATGCCCAATGCGCCCTGTTCTTCCTATTCTGTGTACAAACTCTTCAATTTCCGATGGCAAATCAAAGTTAATGACATGTTTAACATTATCAATGTCAAGTCCACGGGCTGCAACATTGGTAGCAATAAGTACAGGGCATCGTCCTTTCTTGAAATCAGCCAAAGCCTCCTCTCTTTCTTGCTGTAGACGATCACTGAAAATTAATGAAAACACTGTTCAGTTGTTTTTATTCTTAGAAATCAATGCCTTAAGTTTAATACAAATTCTGGCAAGGGGCTGAATCTGGCTGACAACACATGGCTGAAAAAGACCTAAGAACTACGACACTGAAACATTCAAGTGAATGTATTTTTTTCTTTTACAAGAACTCAAACCTTCGCAGTATTAATTGTCCTCATTTGAGGTCCAAAATGATATGATGGTTGAGTAAATTTAATTCTATAATTTTGGGGCGCTGAACGGTGAGTTTGAAAAATTTTGAGCTTGCAGCGCTGCTTACCCATGAATACTGGTGGTTGGAAAGCCTTCTTGAGATAACAAGCTTGCAAGAAAGTCTGCTCCCCGCTTTGACTCAACAAACACTAGAGTCTTGTCAGTACCTAAAATAAAGAAACAAAAAAAAATTGATTCATTAGAAACTTGCAGGGTCCTCAATTTGCAAACGTCAAGTTGTGAGGTTTAACAAAGATACCTAAATCACAGAGCTTGATTCCCCACTACACAACTCTTATTCAAGATGTTTATCAACAGTAACTGTCGTTAAATATCCCCTTAATTATAAACTTAAGTTTTATTTCTTCATGAAGAATGGGAGTAAAGTGTGAAAACTAGTCCAGATTCAGAATCATTCATTAAAATGAGCTTATTTTCTCAAAAAAAGGGATATAGGCCACCTTTAATATATTAAAATTCAGCATCATAGCTGTAGTATTATTGACTGGTCTGCAGTTTTCCACCATAGTTCCAGGCCATCACCTACGTAAATTTATTCAATGATCTGAGAAATCTTGTCAATCACACTCACGGTTGTATTAAAAGCACGATCGTTGTTATCATACACATTCTAATTGAACCTACAATAATAGTATTAGAGGACACAAACACAGAAAATGAATTAAACATGTTTGTTCATTTTTTTT